ACACCCCTAGCACAGCCAAAATACCCCCCTCTCCTACTATACAATCACACCCCTAGCACAGCCAAAATACCCCCCTCTCCTACTATACAATCACACCCATAGCACAGCCAAAATACCCCCCTCTCCTACTATACAATCACACCCATAGCACAGCCAAAATACCCCCCTCTCCTGCTATACAATCACACCCCTAGCACAGCCAAAATACCTCCCATTCCTACTATACAATCACACCCATAGCACAGCCAAAATACCCCCCTCTCCTACTATACAATCACACCCCTAGCACAGCCAAAATACCCCCCTCTCCTGCTATACAATCACACCCCTAGCACAGCCAAAATACCCCACTCTCCTACTATACAATCGCATCCCTGTTACAACCATGATTACCCCATGTTGTCACTAAATCACATCCCCATGACATCCAGAACAACTCGAATATTCCCTGCTAAAAGATTACATACCTAACACTTATAAAATAACCACCTACCCTGCCATCAGGTCACGTCTCTATTGCAGACAAAATAATGCATATAAGATTCATTTAAAATAATCTCCCTCTTATAAGATCCATCTGGAAAAAACAAAAAACAAACACCTCTTTTACTATAACAATGCTGATGGTTTTAACGGTTATACAGAATGCGCAGGTTGGGATCACCGACCCTTGGATCCTGCTTCACCACTTGAGGAATACCACCAACTGGACTTGCTGTCCATTGACTAAGTACTGACTGGTATATTCTTCTAGTGTAAATGTAGATCTTACTTCTCAACTTTCCAGGACTCACCAAGACAGTATCGATTTGAGGCTCCATCTCGGGTTTATTCCTTTGTGTCCTGCTTCACAAACAATGTCCCCAATACCAGCTTCGCAAACGTCTTTAGATGTGCTGTCAAAAATGGATTCAAGGAATTTGGTTCGTACACAAGTTCATCATAAACTTTGTCTGTATGGGCTACCCTGCATAGGGCTGACCAGCATAGCAGACAGCCAGGCTGACATGACCCCTCTTTGGTGATGGGGGCCCGTCTGCCTTTTAGGAATGCTCACCCCTGTTCATGTCAACCATAAGATCTCTGAATCTGCATTATTGTTTATAGAAATGCTGCAATTAACGATTATTTTTTTATAAACAATTGATCACTGAATTACCTTTCCAATAAATCTATTAGTCAGATAAAAAAGCAAAACCCAAAAACGTGTGGAGTGCAATTTAGTTTATCTGTAAAAATCAAATGCACAAATTATATTTAAATATCCATACGCATAGGTAAAGAAAATATCCTATCCGCTATTATAAAGAAATACTATAGCATTAGAAATACAGGTGTCCCGTCACTAGTTGTATTCAATCCTCCCCCCCTTTATACTTATCTTTTCCAGCACCGAGACTCTTATCAGCGCCACTGTCCTCTATTCCACACGTGACTTCATTAAGGTGGCATGGCTTCCTCTATCACTGGACCAATCATGTGCTCCCACGAGCAGCAACATCATACCACCAAATTTCTCGTCAGTCAGAGCCGTGAAAGGAAGACAGTCCACTATAGGTGTGTTTAAAGGACCACTCTAGGCACCCAGACCACTTCAGCTTAATGAAGTGGTCTGGGTGCCAGGTCCAGGTAGGCTTAACCCATTTTTTTATAAACATAGCAGTTTCAAAGAAACTGCTATGTTTATAATTGGGTTAAGCCTTCCCCCAAAGCCTCTAGCGCAGTCTCATTGTACAAAGCACTAAGGACTATATATTTGTACAAATGTACAAAGCACTAAGGACTATATATCAATCGCAGGACAAAGCCTCACACTGGTACGTATGCAGGACATATAGTCATCAGTAGCAGCTAGCAAGCCACCAGCTAATTATTGTGTAAACAGATAATAGTGCACGTCAGTTTAAAAAAACTAATCTCATCATTCTAAGGATAAGTATAAATAAGAAGTTTGAAACTATATCATGCAAAGCATAGTCTCAAATCACCTGATTTTAATATCAAGTAATCCAAATGCTGGTTCCTATTATTTCTGGGTTGCACATGTGATCTAATCCACATAAACCTTTTACCATAAGGCTGTCCTTATACTGTACTGAATAAGTGAAATGCATAGGAAGTCCATCTTCAAGCTGCAGCTCTCAGAAGCCCGTCTTAAGCACACTTCATTTTACACTAGAAACTTTATGAAACGTTCCAGCCTCTTTACCCGTGTAAAATGATCTTATACACGCTCACAGTGAGATTTTTTGCACTCTCTTCTCTGTATACTGTGGCGGACACCCTGATGGGTAGAGAGGTTTCGCCGCCAGAGATGTTCTTTTCCACAGTGTGAGTAGAATTGCAATAATCCTGGAAGTGAGAATCCTAAAACATAGTGAAATAGCTGTTATTGCTGTTCCCTACAGACATGAGACGAGGCTCTGTGTTGAGGGTAAAACTGTAACTGCTTTAATGGGAGCCACAGCCGGCTTTTTATGCAAGTCCTCATGCAAGGGGTTTCTGGAGACACATTCCAGGGGCATTCCCCACTGGACATGAGAGGGGACAGCATCATAAGCACACACATAATTACATTACCTCTCAGGTCCAGGAGAAGCATAATTAAAATATATCAAAATACAGTGTTAACCATAAGATATCCCTACAAATATTATGTCCCCGGATAGCCTGGGTCTGAGCGCCCAACATGTGTCGAAATCACTCAGATCCCACAAACGCAACCGAAACGTCACCGGGGTATAGTTTAGACCGATCACACACGAGGCGCCTTCCCAAAATAGTTCCATGAAATCAGGTTGCGTGGTCGGTCTCTTTCGGGAATATTAAATACACAGTTTTTATATACAAATAACAGTTAGTGAATATGTTCCCAGAGTATCTGTGGTTCGAGAGATGTTTCTACCGAATGCCGCTTTGTTCGTGTAAATCGAACATATTTGGGTATGGAAGTCCTAGCGGTATTCACGCCGTCGAGTAGCCGATTTTAGTTCCATACACTTGACGACCAAACACCGCTGGCTGTGTTCGTATTCCAAGATGGCCACCGCCACATGTTCGCACATACGAACGACGACCACCCAGCCGACCGTTTAGAATGTTGAGGTGCTTGCGGTTTTCAGAGGTGTTAACAAAGGTTAATGGGGTCAACAAGTGGCACACTCCGCACCTGGGTGGTCGGTCTTCGGTAGAATGGTCGGTATTCGAACGGAGCAAAGTGGAAATAGGTCCAGGTGATGTATTTCACCAAACAAAGAGGTGAGCAGGATCAAAAGAGCTATAAAATCCAGGGACAGGGAGGTCTGTCACAAACATTAACTAAGAGAATAATTTTTAATAAGGAAGCTCTGTCACCCTAAGTCAAAATGTTTATGAAATTCTCATAAATGCTGCGTTGAAATTTCATTCAAATTCCAATGCAGTCAAATTATATCACAAGACAACGAATGGACAACTTTGTATTATGGTAAAATCCAACCCTGACAAAAGGCCGAGCTACCACCATCACGTTTCGTCACTTCCCATAGCCATCACTAGCTACGACTGTAGGTATAGGACATTATATCGCTCACCTCGAGATCATTTTTATGGTAGCTCCCGCGGTTTCACAGGATCGACCATAGACTTCAATCAGTGTTGCACTCTCACACACGCGCAATAGTTCAGCACTGACATGGGCTCCTGGCAGATGAAGCGTCAGAAGCTGGACAGTATCAAGGAAAGTACAACTCACCTTTACTGCACCCGATGGGCAAAGGCATCGTCGATAGTCTTTGGAAACTACGAAAAGACCCCAGAAGGTGACATAGCTCCTTTAACAGTTATGATTAGATGATATGGTCATCCTAAACAAGGCAATAGTAAAATAAAATATTATGAAACAGACAATCTAACAGACTAAACTGCGCAACTTTAAACCTGTGGACAATGACTTGCATAACCCCCAAATGTCCCTATTTAGGAGGGACAGTCCTTATTTTGGACCTAAATTCCCCTGTCCCTCTTTTCTATCCTAAAGTCCCTCTTTTCTAGGAGCTCCATATTGTTAGTGTGCTTGAGTGTATAGAGCTACACAGCAATAATACTCCCAGTAATGTGTCTGAGTGTATAACAGAGCTCCACAGCAATAATACTCCCAGTAATGTCTGATTGTATAACAGAGCTCCACATCAATAATACTCCCAGTAATGTGTCTGAGTGTATAACAGAGCTCCACAGCAATAATACTCCCAGTAATGTGTCTGAGTGTATAACAGAGCCCCACAGCAATAATACTCCCAGTAATGTGTCAGAGTGTATAACAGAGCTCCACAGCAATAATACTCCCAGTAATGTGTCTGAGTGTATAACAGAGCTCCACAGCAATAATACTCCCAGTAATGTCTGAGTGTGTAACAGAGCTCCACAGCAATAATACTCCCAGTAATGTGTCTGAGTGTATAACAGAGCTCCACAGCAATAATACTCCCAGTAATGTGTCTGAGTGTATAACAGAGCTCCACAGCAATAATACTCCCAGTAATGTGTCTGAGTGTATAACAGAGCTCCACAGCAATAATACTCCCAGTAATGTGTCTGGGTGTATAACAGAGCTCCACAGCAATAATACTCCCAGTAATGTGTCTGAGTGTATAACAGAGCTCCCCAGCAATAATACTCCCAGTAATGTGCCTGAGTGTATAACACAGCCCCACAGTAACAATACTCCCAGTAATGTGTCTGAGTGTATAACAGAGCTCCACAGCAACAATACTCCCAGTAGTGTGTCTGAGTGTATAACAGAGCTCCAAAGCAATAATACTCCCAGTAACGTGCCTGAGTGTATAACAGAGCTCCACGGCAACAATACTCCCAGTAATGTGCCTGAGTGTATAACAGAGCTCCACGGCAATAATACTCCCCAATGTGTGTCTAGTTGTACTTAACCAGAGCTCCCACAGCAATAATACTCCCAGTAGTAGTACTGAGTGTATAGCAAGAGCTCCCGCAGCAATAACAGAGCTCCACAGCAATAATACTCCCAGTAATGTGTCACGTGTATAACAGAGCTCCCAGCAATAATACTCCCAGTAATGTGTCTGAGTGTATAACAGAGCTCCACAGTAATAATACTCCCAGTAATGTGTCTGAGTGTATAACAGAGCTCCACAGTAATAATACTCCCAGTAATGTGTCTGTGTGTAAAACAGAGCTCCACAGCAGCAATACTCCCAGTAATGTGTCTGAGTGTATAACAGAGCTCCACAGCAATAATACTCCCAGTAATGTGTCTGTGTGTATAACAGAGCCCCACAGCAATAATACTCCCAGTAATGTGTCTGAGTGTATAACAGAGCCCCACAGTAATAATACTCCCAGTAATGTGTCTGAGTGTATAACAAAGCTCCACAGCAATAATACTCCCAGTAATGTCTGAGTGTTTAACAGAGCCCCACAGTAATAATACTCCCAGTAATGTGTCTGAGTGTATAACAGAGCTCCACAGCAATAATACTCCCAGTAATGTGTCTGAGTGTATAACAGAGCTCCCCAGCAATGATACTTCCAGTAATGTGTCAGAGTGTATAACAGAGCTCCACAGCAATAATACTCCCAGTAATGTGTCTGAGTATATAACAGAGCTCCACAGCAAAAATACTCCCAGTAATATGACTGCGTTCATAACAGAGCCCCACAGCAATAATATTCCCAGTAATGTGTCTGAGTGTATAACAGAGCTCCACAGCAATAATACTCCCAGTAATTTGTCTGAGTGTATAACAGAGCTCCACAGCAATAATACTCCCAGTAATGTGTCTGAGTGTATAACAGAGCTCCACAGCAATAATACTCCCAGTAATGTGTCTGAGTGTATAACAGAGCTCCACAGCAATAATACTCCCAGTAATGTGTCTGAGTGTATAGCAGAGCTCCACAGCAATAATACTCCCAGTAATGTGTCTGAGTGTATAGCAGAGCTCCACAGCAATAATACTCCCAGTAATGTGTCTGAGTGTATAACAGAGCTCCACAGCAATAATACTCCCAGTAATGTGCCTGAGTGTATAACAGAGCTCCACAGCAATAATACTCCCAGTAATGTGTCTGATTGTATAACAGAGCTCCACAACAATAATACTCCCAGTAATGTCTGAGTGTTTAACAGAGCCCCACAGTAATAATACTCCCAGTAATGTGTCTGAGTGTATAACAGAGCTCCACAGCAATAATACTCCCAGTAATGTGTCTGAGTGTATAACAGAGCTCCACAGCAATAATACTCCCAGTAATGTGTCTGATTGTATAACAGAGCTCCACAGCAAAAATACTCCCAGTAATGTGACTACATTTATAACAGAGCTCCACAGCAATAATACTCCCAGTAATTTGTCTGAATGTATAACAGAGCTCCACAACAATAATACTCCCAGTAATGTGTCTGGGTGTATAACAGAGCTCCACAGCAATAATACTCCCAGTAATGTGTCTGAGTATATAACAGAGCTCCACAGCAAAAATACTCCCAGTAATATGACTGCGTTCATAACAGAGCCCCACAGCAATAATATTCCCAGTAATGTGTCTGCGTGTTTAACAGAGCTCCACAGCAAAAATACTCCCAGTAATGTGACTGCATTTATAACAGAGCTCCACAGCAATAATACTCCCAGTAATGTGTCTGAGTGTATAACAGAGCTCCACAGTAATAATACTCCCAGTAACGTGCCTGAGTGTATAACAGAGCTCCACGGCAACAATACTCCCAGTAATGTGCCTGAGTGTATAACAGAGCTCCACGGCAATAATACTCCCAGTAATGTGTCTGATTGTATAACAGAGCTCCACAGCAATAATACTCCCAGTAATGTGTCTGAGTGTATAACAGAGCTCCACAGCAATAATACTACCAGTAATGTGTCTGAGTGTATAACAGAGCTCCACCGCAATAATACTCCCAGTAATGTGTCTGAGTGTATAACAGAGCTCCACAGCAATAATACTCCCAGTAATGTGTCTGAGTATAACAGAGCTCCACAGTAATAATACTCCCATTAATGTGTCTGAGAGTATAACAGAGCTCCACAACAATAATACTCCCAGTAATGTGTCTGAGTGTATAACAGAGCTCCACAGCATAACAGAGCTCCACAGTAATAATGCTCCCAGTAATGTGTCTGAGAGTATAACAGAGCCCCACAGTAATAATACTCCCAGTAATGTGTCTGAGTGTATAACAGAGCTCCACAGCAATAATACTCCCAGTAATGTGTCTGAGTGTATAACAGAGCTCCACATCAATAATGCTCCCAGTAATGTGTCTGGGTGTATAACAGAGCTCCACAGCAATAATACTCCCAGTAATGTGTCTGAGTGTATAACAGAGCTCCCCAGCAATAATACTCCCAGTAATGTGCCTGAGTGTATAACACAGCCCCACAGCTATAATACTCCCAGTAATGTGTCTGAGTGTATAACAGAGCTCCACAGCAATA